AGTTGTGCCCGGGCGAGTGCCTCAAGGAACGCTCGATAAATGATCGCTACGTGAGTAGGTTCATTCTTCCCTTCTCCTGGATCCATATACTCTCTGGCCGATTGAACGAAGTTCTCGATCCCTGACACCCGTAAAAGCTCGGATTCCGTGGGTAGCGTGAGCTCGATTGGGGAGTCTGACATCGATAACCTGTCGAGTGTGCTGAAGTGAAGATGATCGAGATCTAAGACCACCCTGAGCCTTTATCCTCTATTATAGCCAGGTGCCATCATACAAAGGGAACAATCTGGACAAAGGGGTCTGAGTCTTCCATAGTCCCCATACGTGAATTTGAATCATTACGCGTCTTGCATCTTAAATGTATCTAAAAGTATAACAGGAACGAAGGTCAAGTTTTGAGGTTGTACACTGGTCAAGCGCTGCAAGCGCAAGAGGCAGTATAAACAGACCGTTCTCCGCTCAAAGGTCCCAGAGCTGGGAACCGCAAGTTCTAACGCTACTCGACAGCCGGCGTCGTTTCTTGTCGGCTGCAGGTCGCCGAGAGCACGTGATTCTAAGGTGTCACGCCCTGATCAGATCAGCCCCTCATCACGATGAGCAAATCGTCCTACCTAAAAATGACTTTCCGCCCGACATAGATTCAGAATGTAGCTCGGGGCCTGACTGGCTCATTTTAAGACCCATTTGTTTGACGTACTAGCTTATTCTCGTGACACCATGAACATTGGCACCGGCATGAACATGGACACCTTGGAAGCGAAACCTCTCTACCTCGGTCGTCGCCTGCTGGGCGAAGGAGGTTTTGGCAAAGTCTACGAAGTAGAACGAGCTTCGGACAAGAAGGTGCGTTTAGTGTACAACGAACAAGTCTGAAACGACTTTCGCTCAGTCATAGAAACCATAGCTTTTCGCTCTGAAGATCGTCACGGTCAGCACCAACGCCGAGCAACGAAAGCTTGCTGCTCAAGAAGCAGCACTACACTCGAAATTGGCGCACCGCAACGTCATCGCTTTACTCGAGCATTGGGAATTCGAACGCTCATTGCATCTTCTTATGGACTTGGGGACTTATGGGGACCTAGAAATATTTTTGGCTCAGAAAAACAAGACCACGTAAGTCCGGCTTTTCTGTCATTAATGTATGAGGCTGAGAAAGATGGTCGAATGATGAGCGACAATATTGAGCTCCGACGAAATCTCTTTGCACAAGTATGCGCTGGATTACATTACCTTCATGAAGGTCATGACAACCAAGTGTCGGTGATTCATCGTGACTTGAAACCCTCCAATGGTGAGCAAATTTTTAACTTCATGCCTTTCATACAAAACATCGATAGATGCAGCGAGGAGGCTGATGCAAAAAAATGGGAACTCACGGATTGTACTTGCCAGTCTTGATCGACCACGCTTTCCGTGCAAAAATCGCCGACTTTGGATTGGCAATCGTACGTGACAAGCACGCGAAAGGACAGTGGGGCATCGCAGGTGTAAGCACAGACGTCCCTCGACCTATCGTACCATGCAGCCGTGCTTACTGCATAAGTACTTCATTCTTCCCTTTAATGCAGACGCCTGGCTTCAGATCGCCAGTGAGTGGAGTATATGTGCATGAGACACACGAGCTGTGGCTGTTAATCCTGTCCCAACCCTCCTCTGTGAATAACAGGAAATGCTGAAAGGCGAGAGATACGGCGTCAAAAGCGACTTGTGGTCTCTCGGATGCTTTTTTTTTCGAATTCTGACAAGAAAGTGAGTGCCACAAATTTTCTGAGGATTACAATATCTCACATGATTCTCTTCTTATAGACACCTGTTCGATGAAGGTGGTGTGAACAGAGATCAAAATATTCTACGGAGTCGTAGCTTGGCCGCTCTCGCCAATCTTAACCTTCCTGAGAAAGATGTGGTCAACAGTCTTCTTCAAGCTGTCGTGAGCTCTTGTACGGCTCTCAACGGAAGTGCATCGTGACACTTACTATCTTCATTGCTCGTCGCCGTCACAATTGCTTCTGCTTAAACAGCCATTGCAGAGGATTTCCTCGGCCCAGCTACTTGCCAATTCTGCTATCATAGATTGGCTTGTAGACACACCCCTTCGGTAAGTTCATCTATTTTTGACTACATAGACGCTTCTAACGAAGCTCATCGGAAGCTTTGATCATGTGCATCGAGAGAATACTCTGGTTGAGTCCGCATCTCCCGTTGGAGCGCCTGAGGAGACAAAAATGATACCTGTCCGTCACAAGCTCATCAGTCACCCGAGCCTCTCTCCTCTTTTACCTTATGTCACTGCCCAGACCTCCGAAGAAAGGTGCGTGCACTTCTCTGTCTACCTTCTTTTCCCGGATGCAACTCATCTCGTTTTTCTTTTAGGCCAAAGGCCGTGCGCTTCCGAAAAATAAAGATCGGCGCTTGATCAACTTTTCGGGAAAAGGGTTCAATTTAGGGGCTGTCAAAACCACAGAATCCTGATTTCTTCTTAAGCTCGATCCGATGTAGCACAAAAGCAGTGCAGCGAGGCCGAGCTTAATCTAATGAGCTGTATGAGGTGCGTCTTTTGACACGCTACCTGTTCTACGTTTGGTAAATTCTCCTACCACTGTTGCTCTTGTAACGAGGTGATTCTTCAGGGACATAAGAGGTCAAGAGCAGAAACAGCATCAGCAAGCGATGTGATACGCGCTGCACGATGACGATAGAGCTCCTTCAAATGAATTTGATGTGTCGCAAACAAAAGGTCGGACACCTAAAAGCTCCAAAAAGATTCTCAGTCCCGAAGAGAATCCCACAATGTGACGGAAAAGTAGATTAATGCCAAGCCCACATTATGTCACCAGAACGATATCGCCGTGGCGAAGTCAGAGAGCTGATGCCATTTCCACAGAGGAAGGAAGTCTCGCGGATTTCAGGAAGACTCCGCAAGAACTCTTAGTTTCATGACGTTTGGCGAGTCTGTCTTCTCTCAGATCGCTTCGGGAAAGCTTCGACAGCTCGCGAATGCATTGATCCCTTTCGAATGCCCTCAGCTTGGCGTCACGTTCTCCACTGCTTGTATGTATGAAACATGAATCATAGGAGCAGGCTTGTGCCGTTCTTTTCTTTTGCTCTTAGTTCTGATAGAGATTTGCAGAAGTCTCTCTCGAGCGACAAAGATTTGCTATTCTCATCGGAACTGTTTGTCATGAAGGTGTTTCGCTCGACTAGTTCAACAGAAAACAGAAGTCCTTCTCCTCGTCTATGATATCGATCCTTTCGATCCACATTTTGAGACTTAAGCTTTCGATAGGGGAGAAATGCAGATGTAACGCAGGTGAACATGCCACTAATATCCAGCAGAAGCCAGAAATATGATGCACGGAGTGAATTCTATTGCGGAAAGTCCTGCGAGCTCGCTGAGAACGGCAAGCGCACGAGCGGGATCCACAGCGAGCTCAATTCGACCGTAAGACCCAAAGCATTAAATAAAAAGATTTTCGTCCATTTTTGTCTCGTAGATGAGACATGATTCACGAACGTCTTGCGTTTGCGACGGGCTGTACGTGAAGACGAGAGAATTAGAGAAATAGATTAGTGGAGAACATCGAGCATCGCATCATCGATGTACAAGATTGTCGTCCTCAGAGATCTACTTGAGAAGCGTTCTTCGGAGTGACGCCAAAAGCAAAGTGAGGCTTTGCTTAGGCTTTGAGTCGTGTAAAGATTCAAGGTTCGGACCCATAAGGTTACGCCCTGATCTTCCGTGCTGGTGAGGCCATTGCACAATCATCATCAATTTAGAGGCTGGGCAAGCTTCTCGCTGAGCTGTCTGCCCGTTTGAAGACAACTGCATGAGGCTGAATGAGCTGATACACCAGGCCCACTTGATCAAAGATGCCTTTTGTCGATTCAGGCTTCTGCAGGCACAAGCATCTTTAACTCACTAAGCTGACCGCCATCACTCTTCAGAATTCTGAAGCCCAGAAGTCGCTCGGAAACGATTTGGAGAGTTTCTACTCACGGTGTCTTGCAACCTGGCGATCTCAAGAGCCACTTGAAACGAGAAGGCATTGGGGTCGTCATGACAATATGCATTCTTCGAGACCTTCCTCCGCTTTTCCCTGCTTTCTTGGGCCACCAAGAGATGCATTCTCAACACACGATGTGCCCATAAAATCTCTGTTCGGGCGAGTTCCCTATGGTGAAAGCCGGGCTTAGCTTTTTCTGCAAGAGCTTTCTTCAAAAGGAGATACTGCTTGTGTTGAGCCAATGATCATCAAGGTCGTCGTACTTGCAGTAGATTATTAGGTTTGCTACTTTCAAGACTTGCGTGGCGAACAAAATCGCGTGAGGAGAATTTTAAAGACGGTGAGTGTAGCGACAGCCTGACTTTGAACCTCTCATGGGCGTCGTCTATTCCCGTATAAGAATAAAATGGAGAAGTTGAGAACCGGTTCCATAGAACCTTGCAGAACTGACATGCGATGAAGTCACCACTTTTTGCTGCGGGAACCACATGACCAGGAGATCGCTCCTGCGATGCCTCTTTTTGCTATACTTTCCATCACACTGATGAAGATAATCATTTTTTGCTTAGACTGCATCGACTAGGTAGAGGTGCCGATGTCAACAAGGAAGTGGCTAGCTACGTATCGTATCGGAGCCAAGAAGGCAGAATACGGTAGTAGAAAATAATTTTCTTAACATTGAGTCTAACAGGTGCGAATACCTAAAAGTGTGGCGAAATGATGTAAGCATTAGCACATGGGTGAGAAGTCTCAACAACAGAGAAACAGGACAGTTTCAAGAAATTGTTCCTCTCGTAGTTTTTTCCATCGATGGAGGCTGCCAGTCTCCGGACCGCAGCCTTCCAGAGCCTTGGGTACAGAGCTGCCCTCACTCTCCTTCGCAAGAGGACTGCTAGACTCGACTGAAACTCGACTCCTGCTGTGTAATCTGTCTCTCAGTCCCCGTTGACGAAAGTTGCGACGACTCGAGCAAGCGATCCCCTGAGTTTTCCGTCTGGGCAGCCCATGACACGGAGGTAATCGTGGTAGCTGCAATCAGTCAAGAGCTTCTTTTCTTGGCCTTTCAGCTTTGCCTTTTCCGCTACGACGTTCCAGGCTAATGCTGAGCCGTAGGATTCATGCTGCGTGATGATGTTGTCGCCATGACAAAGTCGCCAATTTACTGAGGGCGAAAGTCCAATATTTGCGCACGGAACGTCCACGACTCTTGCGTACGCGATGTTCAATATTGTGTTTGTGAGAGTGGTATCTCGATTGCCGCTGTAGTGACCACCAATCGTTTGCACGAATGTGTCTGTCTCCGGAACACAGCAGACTTGCGTGTGAACCGGGTTGTCGAGCCGTAGCCTGGCATGATCAAGTCGATCTTCACCTGAGGCAAACGACTGCAAAATTGTGCATTTCGCACGGCTTGGGGATTCCTCGATGTAACTGAGGGACATGTGACAACGAGTGTGCACACTATTAAAGTCGGGGTAGTCGATTGAATTGAAATATGACCCTTTCTTCGCATCCTCAGCTCTTTTTAGCTGATATTCGAGAATTCTATCCTTCAATGAATCCTGACGTTACGACATTTGCTGCATCTGGTCCCAGAAGCAGCGAAAGCGAGAACATTCGCCTCCATAGGTCAACAGATGTCACGCACCGTCTCGAGCTCCTCGCGAATACATCTCAATTTGCGGAGCTCCAGGTTGGTCATGTCCACCAATGCTCCCGTCGCCGAGATTCTTGGTCAGTGCTCCTCAAATATGACGGCCTTTTGTGAAAGGCACTGCACCGTTCCGATGATATATGATTTATGAGCCTATCAGGCAAATTTTCACTTTCCCGTTGGCATCTCGAACCAAACATTGAACGACTCTCCTGACCTTACCGCCCTTTGTCTTCGTCTGACTCTGAAACTCGCACCGACGCTCGCGCCACAAGTGGTCGTATTTGATTGCGTGAAAGCAAAAGCTAGAGATTACTCGTCGACGTATCTTGTCCAGTCAGCTGCGATCCTGCAAAGCCAGACTGATGCAACTTGGCGAGTACGGATCGAGCCCGATTGCAGTACATAGCTTTCAGAATAGAGGAACGAGATTCGAATCGGCAAGAATAGCCTACGTAAGACTTTCAAACATTGCAGCATCAGAAAATCCCAAGCTACTCCAAAGACGTATTGTATGGTTCTGAATTATTAGGGACAAGCTGTCTCTCGCGCGAAATCAGGTTGTGGTATTATTCTCTAAAATTATTTACCCTCTTCGTAGCATTTTAAGATCTTATCTTGATTAGACCATCATCAAAACAATTCCAAAGTTGATCTTCAAAATCACGCAGAACGAAGAAAGGGCTCTTCCCTCCTCGTGACATATTCATTGCCTCACGCAATTACAAGAATTGGCTTTAACTTCTGTTGCTGCTTTCACTACGTTCCATTCGCATGGCTATCGTTGAAAGACTCAACTGAGCGACCTAGACCATCCAATCTTTCTCAGGTTTGACGGTCAAACCATGCCTTTGTAGCACAGAAAGCCACCTTACTCATGGCCCCGTAATGAAGGGACGAAAAGAAATCATGCGGATAGCCTGGCTACAAAAAGTTGCACACGCAGTCTTAGCTTCAAACGAACAGGCGCAAGAACGGCACTTGTTGGCATAGCGAAGACTCACATAAATCACATGAGTCACATCGACTTCTTGGGCCTTGGCACGCGCTACGAAGCGAACGCCTTCATTCAACAGCGCCTCTTCGCCACCATGAATAACATAAAGCTTAGGCAAAGCAGCGATCTCGAAGTTCGACCAGACGATTGGGCTAGCGAAAGGGTCGTCCAAATTTGCAATTCCTAGAGCTCTTGAACCACGTTCCACAAAGGATCTTGCAATTATGTCACGAGACGATGCCTGTTTGAATGAGTCCGAATCATAGCTTGACAAGTCTAGCCACGGCTGTACATAAGAGCTGAAAGATCAGTTTGCCCACATCTCACAAGGAGAACAGATGTTTCTTCTTCTTCTCACAGAATTAAGAAGAAGCCCAGCGACGGACGAGGACTCATTTAGTATGCAGTGAAGATAGCGCCAGAAGGCGAGGATTAGATTGGCGCCCGCACTGTCTCCACCAAGGTAGATTCGATCGTATCCAATCGACTGTAGATGACAATACGCCGAGAGATCTTCGAAGACCTGAGAGGGAAACGTCGAGTCGGGCGCTAGTCGGTAGTCGAGACCTATTAGGGAGAACATCTCGTATTGTGTTGAGAGCGCCGTCTCTCATGCCTGCAGAAGAAACAAAGTCGAGTACGAGACACGCACTGCAGATATCGACCTCTGCGCACTTAGACTTGCATTGCTGCGACCTGTCACGTCAAAAGAAGGAACATGATCGACCTTGTAGCCAGTCTGTCACGCAGTTAATCAGCAATTGTCTGCTCACTTCATGGGCAAAGAGGCACTCACCGCCAGAACAATTACGTCAGCAGGGCGCTCGCGTTCGCTAACGTCTCCGTGAGCGATAATACCGGCCGGCGTGATGCGAGCAACGCCAGCCTGGATTACTTCGACATTTGAGGCAGTGATGGTCTCGAAAAACCCTGGTCCAGGCGTCGGCCGTCGACAGCCGAAGCTAAATGCTGGGACAATGGACGATTCAAGCGCTGGCTTAGCCGTCAATTTGGCCTGTGTTAGCTTCGTCAGCGCGTCTGTGTGGTTGGGATAGAAGTGATCGGTCAGAATCAGGACACTCGAAAGCTGAACTCAGCATTCAAAGACAATGATCAGACTGACCTCGTACGAACAGAGCGGTTGGACTGCCGCGAATGTAGAGATCTCTGGCGCTACCGTGGAACGCCTCCTCCAGCCATTTGCGGTGCTGCTCGACGTGTCCCTTCGACATTTTGAAAGAGTTGCGCTGCTCTTCCGAGTAGGCTGGGTTGACAACCTCGACGTCATCCGTCACCAGCGTGGCAAAATCCCCTGTTTCTGTTTAAATGTGACGTGGCGCTCCGTGAAGCCAAAGGGAGCACCAATCCATGCTTGCGACCGGACGTAGAGGTCAATATGCCTGGCGCCGATGCGCTGTAGCGCGGGCAAAATTTGATAGACGACGCTCCAGCCCTGATACGTTGATGGGCAGAGCACGCAAGTGGGGGGCAAATGTGTTCGATTTAACATAATGGCAACGAGATCGTAGCATGACGTACCCAACGACAGCCACGCGCCTATCTTCTGTGGAGATGTCTGGTTTCCACTGCGAAGTGTGAACGAGCGTTCCTAGGAAGGTCTCGGCACCGGCAATTGCGGGCTCTGCGAAAATCAATCATGGTGCAGCGAGAAAAAATTAAGCACTCTCTTACTATTTGCTTTAGAGAGGATGCCACCCGCGTTCACGAGACTTATGTCGTTGAAGTGAGTGGTGAGTGCAAGCATTGGTTAGCTATTTGTGCGTAGGCACACGATGCGGACGGCGTCCCCCTGGTAGCTCAGCTACGCACACATGAGCTTTTGCTTGCCAAGCCTCGCCGGGGATGTTGGAATGATTGCTTCCCTTCATGCTCCACATGCCTTCTTGCTCGTCCCATACGGCGGACTCGACCTTGTGCTTGAATACAGGAGAAATCCACTCTGCTCGGCTACACGTTCGAGATAGCCAAGAATCTCGGAACGAGTGCTGTAAAAGCGGGACCATTCCGGATTGAGAGCCCACGGCAACGTATACACTGTGTCGGCAGCACCGTGATGAATGAGGGAGGGCACGTCGAAGACCATTTGCCGGTCTGGAACTTACGGTGAGAAGGGAAATCGCTTCCAGCCCCAGGATACTGTGTCTGAAAGGAAAGAAAGGTATGAGCGAGATGTCTCGCGGCCGATCCACGCCAGCTACAGGACAGCATGAAGCTGCAATTTGCATCTTGAGAAGGCAAGTCTGGTCAACTTGTGCAGCTCGCAAGAATGCGAGAGCCAAGAGTTACTAGTCCGGACGACATTGAAGCATAGAGACATGAGCGCGAGGTCGCAAGTCGGAAACGTGCCTTACCTTGAGCCATACTCCTCCGACGCCCTCATTGGCCTCATAAATGGTCAATTCGGCCCCAGGAGCGCCGTCGAGGATGGACTTCGCAAGCGCAAGGCCAGCGAAACCAGCCCCGATACATGCGACACGGATCTTGCTAGACTCTAACGTCATGGCGTCCTGCACAAATGATGGTTGTCGATCGGATACTGGGGAGGGTCTGCTCGGCGGCACAGTCTTGGGAGAAAGAAAGTCTAAAGAATGGGTCGCATACGGCTTCTCACCATAATCGCGGCAAAATTTGACGACTTTTCCTCTCGCGATGCGAAGTACTTCTACGTTGCATGCCTTTGCAATTATCACATGCTTTAGTGGAAGCGCGTGGGCGGTGCGCCTGGAAAATTGGACCATGCTGTCCTTCGGTACCGTGCGTATCACACGACCCCCGGACCGTGTGGTTCCGATGCGGCCACAGTGTACCTGAAGAATTGGGAACGAGAGGGATCTCTCGTGACGTCATTAGTCAGAGGAGTGTGAAGCAAAGCGCTTTGACGAACGCCAAGGCCACCTCTGCTAAACAAATACTGGAACACCCAAAAGCTTAACATCTTCGGATGTGATGCAAAATCATGACCCGCAAAGTCTGAGGAGATTCTACAGGAATGACAGCTTGTTTATGAGAGCTCTTTCTTCGGGTTCCATGGCCTTTGTAAGCAGTCAGTAAACGAAGACATTAATAATCACGCAGACGACAGCCAGCGGAGCATAGAATCAATGCCGAGGCGGTCAAGCGTCTCAATGTCGTCGGGCTCGGCGATCATGTCGAAAAAGTGTCCGTGGAGATGATATGCAAGCGGTGGTGTACGCCAATGTCTGCAAGGGCGTTGGCCACGTCCTTCGAGTTGGACGGCAGAATCGTCGTGTCGTCGGCGCCGTGGAGCAGAAAGGTGGGCGGAAAGGAGCCCTGCCGCTGAACACGAAGCCGGATATCCCACTGGTCGAGCACCTCTTGTGAGTCGCTGCCGAGAATCCACGCGCGCCACTGGGCCTGCTGCGCCATGTAGAGCGCCGCCCGGTGGCGCCCTGTGACCGCGCCCGTCTCGTAATCAAAGTCGGGGGGTGCGCCCGCGACGATGGGCCCATCGATGTACGCCTGCACGGAAGAGCGCTCGATCGGCGCAGAACCGGGCACATCCAGCGGTATCGTGTAGTGCTCGTCGGTGAGATTTGTCATTGGGTAAATTGCCCCCAGTCGCAGCTTGTCGAGGTACCACGAGTGATCGACGGTGCCGAGCAGTAGGCAGAGCCATCCGCCTGCCGAGCCGCCAAATGCCATGGCTTGGCGTGAGATGCGCTCTGCAAGGCGGAGGTGTCCTAACGTACGCAGGTGGGTCTCGAGTTTGGTGAACGTCCATCGAAAAGCGTCGGCGACGTCTGCAAAAGAGTCGGCAATCTTGGCCTGGGGAGAGAGACGATAGTCTGGACTGACCAGGATTGCTCGACGTCGTTCTGCCTCTTTCGGCAACCAGCGGGGCACATCTGTTCGGTCCATGGCCGTCATGGCGCCGCCGTGGATGTAGAACATGACATCCAGCGCGTGGTCCTCGGGCTTATTCTTAGGAATGTAGGCATCGAGATGGATGTCGAGCCCGTCTACCTGCTTGTACGCCACGGACAGCGAGGCGTCACGGTTGCCGTACATCTTTGCGAGGCTATCGCATTCGGCCAAGTTCTCTTTCTGACGCGCCTGTATTTATGAAGAAGCACCTGCCTGCCCACAACACCATGTGTTTTATGTCTGCTTATCTCCAGGACTCTCGCGAATATTGTCGCGAATAACGCGGGACAAATGTGCATGTTGTTTTTACAGCACAGCCAAATTTGAAAACGAATCGTGGCAGGCAATCGCAGAGCACAGAGCCGATTGTCCACCAGGTGCACACGCTCACGTTCTGTGACCGAGATTTTCGTCGCGCTTTTGGCCAAGCGCGGCACCGAGGAAAAGAGGTACAGTATGATCCTTTATAAAAATTGATGTTCGTGCGCATCTGATCGCATGCGCTATCGCCTTTTACGACAGTACAAGACGCAGGGCGAAAGTCGCGATTTTCTTGTTTCGCTGTGACAATCACACTCAACCCGAGGATTTAAGTACCACCAGAAAGCATCACTTCTTCCTGCCCTCTCCAGTTGATCCAGTCGATATGAAGGACTTTCATCTCTGTAGATCTCCTCGCTAGCTCTACGAAGACGAGTTGTCTGTCATGTATCCGATCTGTCCACTTTGATGGTGCTTTGGCCCAGAGACCCGCTTGAATCTTGAATTTTGAAGGTTGCCCGGCTGACGAGAACTTCTTTGGCAATCTGATCAAGGTACACTTGCACGATGCTGGACCTGCGCTCTCACTCTGGAAAAAGTACGGCGCTTACGACCCAGAAAGGCGTCAAATTGCTGACCTTGGCAATTATGACAAAGAGAAAAGTATGGAAGCGGATGCATCGCAGCTCAGACGCGACCATGATGTCCTGCTTCTTCGCTGATCGAGCCGCAGCTCTCGTGTTCTCAGAACGTGATGGTCCATGATGAGCAAAGGCATGTCATTCCAGTGAGCGACTGCGAGGCGATTGTGCTGAACAGAAGCGGTAGCAATGTGTCCCGAGATGCTTGATTTCGGAGGAGCACCTTACAACATACTTTCAAAGAATAGGTCATCATCCCGTCCGCACGTGCACCTCGCTACACGATCTCGGTGCTGAGCACATATTAAGCAAGTCGACACCACGCACTTTGTCGAAGTTTCTTCGGTGGACCATTTCAGCAACCTGTCATCACCGGCTCTGGCACCCGGATCTGGCACCTTTGCTCTCCGAAGGGCAAGATGACGGTAGCACAATGCAGTGCACATTGCACAGATGGCGCGAGAGATATAGCAGGTGCGATTGGCGATGCGGGATGAAAACAAGGAGCGATCGATTTAGTTGCAACCGTGACTGGTGACAGTGTCCTGTACGTTCCTTTTGTGGAAGTCCTTAGCGATGAAAGAATAGACATAGAGCGCCAGGGGTCGTCAAAAGACTCTTACGACAGGAGAGAAGGGAATGGTCTTGTGCGAGAGAAGCCTCACTGCCGCTTTTGACGCTTCTCGTCTTGTTCCTTACGCTTTCTTGAGCTTCCAGCCGCCAGCTTTGAGCAACGCTGCGTGTTCTGAATCTATTCTCTCGTTGGAGCCAGCGACGGCTGTGAGATGAACAGCAAGGATCTTTGCTTATCTAAGCCATGCCGAAGAAGACCACTACAAGCACGAGAAGGTTGGCACCGGGTCTGGCCTTCTTGCGGAGATTTTTAAGGAAGTTGTTGGCCTTTGCATCGGACCGGTCGTGAAGAGTGAATCTCATAGAGTAAAATTGTGCCTCTCTTGCCACGTCACCCGGCTGCAGCTCGTTGAAGTTGTTCCTGAAAGACTGCCGTCAGATGGCCATTCTGCTGCGGAATTGGAATGTAACAGAACTGACTCCCCAATTCTAACTCTACCAGATCATGCAGGCGAAATCGTCGCCCACATTATCTTGGCGTCCTCTTTGAGTCGGAAGGCTGGGTGCTCGGCGTGTCCGTAGTCGTCGACGGAGTTGAGGATGTACGTCGGGCGAGCTGGTGGATTCCAACGGGCTGGTCGAGGTGGCGCTAGACCTCAACCCGGGACAATGTAGCTCGCCCAGACCGCGCCTGAGCGCTAACTGCAACTGTCAGTGAAGATTAAATTCCAAATCAGCAATGGGATTTTACATCTGTCGACACGCGGGGCTCCTTGAGAGCCTTCATTTGCTCATCCTTGTTCCAAGTATTCATCTTCCCGTGTGGTGCTCGATGGGAGGCCTAGCGCATACAGCAATAACGTCTCTTCCTTTCGTACAAATTTACGCTGTGGGTGCCTCGTGTTCTCACTCTACTCAATCAACGTGCGTATGTCTAGCTGGTGGGACCGAAGCAATGCCGCTATGCTCGGTGGGCAGTGCCAAGCCTTTTTACGCCTGGGGCCTCCGGTCCGGGACCTGCAGGACCCGAAAAGTAATATTTCGATAATATGTCAGGCACGCAAGCGCGTGGTCCGACGTGCATCGTCCCTTGGACGACCGCGAGGCCAACTCGAGGCAGCAATACATATAAGGATCGCTTTTTGTTTCTTTGCCTTCTGACCAACAAAGAACAAAGACCACTTTTTTTGGCTGGACCAACAAGATTCCTCTGGCTGGACCAACGATGTTTTCCTTCCACCCAAGCCAACTCTCGCTCCTCTTCCTTGCCGCTCTTGCAGCACGGCCGGTCCTCTGCAAGCTGTCCGAAGTTGGAGTCAGCATCCGGCCAACCTACTCTCATCCATTTGAAGGCAGGATTCCTTCGACATTGACTGAGCGTGCCAGCAAGAAGAACGACGATGTACCCAAGCCAGACGTCATGAACACGACGCTTCACTCTTGCGGAAACGACGATGGCCCGCGCAATGTCCTGTGTTTCCCACTCAGCGACGCGCCCAACGACGGTTTCATCAGCATGTCCCTTGATGACGACATCAGCCCCATGGGGCTCTGCGACCCCGGACGCTATTACGACATTTTGACGCAGATGAATGAGAAGTGCACCCAGGGTACGAGCGAGTACTGCACCGCCTCGATGCAGTACAAATGCGACTTCGTCGGTGGCGAAACCAAAACGCAGGGCAAAGACGGTGTGCAGACGTGCATAATGACGTGTGTAATATCTCCGATCAATCAGGAAAAACACTTTACTAATCGGTACCTCGACAGAATGACCTCGGATCTCAATCCGAGCGGTGATGTGGCGTGGATCAACAAGGCAATCAAGGGCATTGCCCAGTCTTTGCTACTCGATGGGCATGAATGTGGCGACGACGTACATCAATCCACAAGACTTTAACCCGGGTTATGGTGGCCAGATAGAGACAGTTCTCACAATCGGCGATCCCAACCACAGTATTGTCACACACAAAGCTCCTAAAACTGTGCACATCAAGAAATGGGACTACGGATCGCAAGGCGGCAACGGTGGCAGCTCGCTCAATGTAGCAATTGACTGCTACAAGCCACCACCCAGTGGATTTGATATTTGCGCATTTGTCACCGGGCTCATTGGTGTTTTTGTGCCCTTCATAGGCCCCGCGTTTGAAAAGGCCGGCACTGTGCTCTCCGACACGACCAAAGCCATTGTCAGCTCGGCCGCTTCTGGCAGCTCTCAGTTTTGCATGATCAAGTAGCCCATGAGTCACCTCTAATGAGGAAGATCTGATACATTGATCAATACAATTCTTCGCGTGAAGAGCGCTGTGACGTCGACATGGTCGTAGCTGTCTTCTGCAAGCGTCGAGACTGCACCGGTTGAGATGCTTTTGTCTGAAGCTGCAGCGATTTTTTGGTTGGAGTGAGATCGTGGTCTCGGTCTATATCTCCGCCGTCCGTGGTGTAGTTTCGTTCGTCAATGAGCCTTCAAGGGCACGTGGCGCAAAGACATTGGACGTAGTCGTCGTTTCCGCTGAAGGGCCCATGGAAGTATGGGCCAGCATGTAGTCTCTTGCTCGTGAAGATGTATGAGGCATGGGCGATAGGGTGAGGAGGCCGGTACTGACTCCGCAGGAAGCGGCCGATGCGTGACAGGTCTGTATAGCCGCCCATTCATTTTAATGTCTGACGCCATGTCTCTAAAATCATTATTATCTCAAATCGAGACATAGCGTATTTTACATCCACAAAGGTTCGTAAAGATGAATAATTCAACGCAATTCTGCAAGTGCTCTGTGAAATTCAGCAAAGCCATCACTTGCATATGTGAAAAGCATTCGGCGCGGTGCATGACGCAGAAGCACTCTTATTGCCTTTTGTGTGGTATTCAAAGCAAAATGTGGAAATTTGTAGGAAAGCGGTGGTGGCGACGACTTCAAGCACGCCACGCGGTCAGTCATCAGGAATAGGCGGATGTTCAGGAACAGTCAGTCATTTACTCAGGAACAGCCAGAAAGTCAGAAACATGCAGCAAGAATGGAGCAGTCACGAGGTCAGCAATACTCTTGTCCTTGACTTTTGACTGACCGCAAGAGGCTGTGACATTAGAATGGAAAATGCGTGCTGAGAGCTCCACATGACTCCAATACAGCACGTTTGCGTTTGCTTGGCAAAGAGGTAAGAGTTTCGAGAGTGTCACGCGGGGAAGCGAGGACACTGGCGATCGGGATTGGAGTTATTGACGCCGTAGTAGAGAAGGTACAGTACATAAGATGAGACGTGGGCGCCTCTCCTCCCTTTAGGCCTATGTAACCAGCGGTACTGCTGCTACACATCGTCGCACTTGTCCCGACAAAGGTTAGAACTACATCGGACACTGACGAAGATACCATGACGGATAGTAGGTCATACCACGGCGTCGAGGGGTCTGTCTATGTCTTGCCAGCCGACGAGGCTGAGACGGAGCGGCTCTCGTTGCAGCACCGCGTCCTGACACGAGCATTTGAAGGACGCCTGTGGACCGCGCCACTGGACGTCAAGCAGCTCGAGCGAGCCGACGTGCTGGACAATGCAACGGGAAATGGTGAGCAGCGGCATCGGCATTCTCTTATTCGAAGAGACGAAAGACTCTATTGACAACCGAAAAGCGAGCATCATTTACGAGACCGCTTCGTTCTTTGCTAATATCTGGAAGTCAGTTGGCAGTCCGGAAGCCAAACACGCCTTCACGGGCATCCATTTCAAACCTGAGGCAGCCGGTCTTGATCTCTTGTTCGTTGACCTGTCACGTAAATCATTATCCAGTCAGCAGAAAGAGCCAGAACCACGACCGGCGCTTATCGGATTGGAGTAAAATGCACCAGTGTGTCAGAAGGGCAAAGTCGTCACTCCTGGCAACAAATTTTTTCTTCGACATCGATTTAAGTGCTGTCATTACACCCAAATGTTTCCATTCTCTATTGTTATCATTGTTGCCATTGTTGCCATTGTTCCCATTGTTCCCATTGTTCCCATTGTTCCCATTGTTCCCATTGTTCCCATTGTTCCCATTGTTTGTGTTGGCTATATGTTCCCGTCATTCTGGTCATTCCTGCTGTTCCCTTTACTCTCTTTCTTATCCTGATTGTTGTTCTTTCCATTGTTTCCATTGTCTTGACACAATTTACAACGGACACGAACGTAGGTATTTCCTGCGGCACCATGACAGCAGTACGAGTTTATTTTTCGTGGGCTTCCGAAGTGGTTCCGCGAAGCCCTTTAAAAAGTTTGGTGAGGCCGATAACCCAATCATTAACGCATTAGTAGTGCTATTGGCTTTAGCGTGCCTAATTATTCTGAACGGTGGGATTGATATAGGAGCGCGAGAACGTAAGTGACGAACTAGTTCAAAATCGGGTACGGAGCATATCTCTGTCTGCACAAATTTAGAACGTCGTTAGATAAGCATCACCAGACAGCTGAAGCATCTCTTTGTGGTCCTGTCAAGCGAAAAGTGGCGATTGTTGACACAAGGGCAACAGACCGTCTCGCTACTCACGCTGGAGAAAGAATTTGAGGAGGGACATTGCCGCACTGTGCGGGTGCAAGCTGATGGTGTAAGGATCCACCGCGAGCCGAGCCTCTTCTCCACTGGAAGCGCCGCACCCACCACACGAGGCTAATCTCTATGACGCCGGACGGAAAACGTAGGCGTGAGAGATCTTTATATTCTGATGACGCGTTGACGATGAAAGCCGAAGAAAAGGTCTCAGTACTCTTTGGCCTGTTTCAGACGACCTACCGGACCCTTGTTCTGGTCCTAATCGTTGCCGACCTGCAAGACTGAGACATCGACGACAGCCTCGCCAACGAGCGATCAAACATTACCGTCTTGATGGGTCCCGACGGTCGAACCACTCTCAAGAAGTGAGATCACCATGAGTCATTTTGCTTTTCCGCCTCTATCTGTGGCAGGCTCGAATGTAGAAGTTCGAGCGTATGGGTCAAACGACGCAACCATTATATTTCGAATGATGAAAAAAATAGAGCCGGTGTGCAATGAGTCTAATCAGAAACAAGCATCAAGGTGTTTGCAGGACGTAAGCAAGAAACGGGAGAAAGATTATTACGACAACAATTCACGAAGCGGGGCATTTTCGAATCCGTCTCCGATCATTGCCTCAAGCGCTCGTCTGTTGCTTGCTCTTGCGCCGCATAAAGGTGTCAAACTCGACGCCTGCACCCCTGGCCAAAAATCCTCCGTCGATGGGGAAATCTGTGCCTGCCGTATACTGATTGAAAGTCGAAGATGAGCCACCTATCCGGAAAATATAGTAGAGAAAATAGAACACACCTTTGCTTCAACGGCAACGTGATAAAATGTCTTGGAGAGATCGTCAAAGTTTCCGCCCTTGCCATTCGGTGCGCACTTCTCCATGAGCAGCTCCGGATCCGCCGTAGCCAGCTCTTCCGTAATGTGGTAGCCGGGGCTGATGGAATTCAGCCTGACTCCAAGAGGAAAGCACTCGTGGCCTACGGACTTGGTGAAGCCGAGAATCGCATGCTTGGTCGCTGCGTACTGTTTTCTGGTTGTGAATATCAAAGATCTGCAATTTTTTGATCTCACTCACGATTGAATTGAAGGCGATGCCGCGCTGTGACAATCTCTTCACTATCTGCCAATCTCAGAACTATTAGTTGAACTCACGTTACCGTAGACGCTCGCTACATTGATGATGCTGAAAGGTACTTCCTCGCTATCCAGCTCTCGGTCCGACGTGTTGCTCTGCTTGGTGCCCTGCTTGATCATCTGCGCAAGCTCGATCTGGCAGGCATTGACAACGGCGTGGAAATTAATCTCGGTCATGCGCCGAACCTCGTCCATCGGTAGCTCCCAAATCGGTTTGAAGCCTGCCGAGCTCTGTACTATTCCAGCAATGTTGATTGCATAGCGCAGCTGGCCAGCGCCCACTTCGGTGGCGCGGCCTACGGCGGCTTCGAGCGACGGCGGCGAGACCGGATCTGCTTCAAAGGCCTCTATACGCCCCACAGACGACCTCCTGTCATGCCGTGCCAAGTCCTCTGCACGTGCACTCAACCGGGTGGCCAAGTCCGTCATGCCAGATGCTGGCTTGCGCGAAGTGAAGACGACAGGTACGCCATATGACGCGAACAATGCGATGACAGCCTGTCCAATCGTGCTTGTGCCTCCTATGACGAGAAGAGATCCTCCCGGCGACGACATCGTGCCGCTGTTTCAAAGTCGGTGATGGAAGAGGAAGTTGAGGAAAATATGGAAGCTCCTATCTATGTGTTGGAGCTCAAGAGCACTTACTCATGTCATGCGACAATCGCTCTGCTTGTCAAGTTTCATGCAAGCAAAGCTCGGTTCGTCAAGCCTTGCATCTTTTTTTTGTTCCTGGTATATGAAAGTCCATCCCACTTCAACTATTCCTACTAAGAATTTGGTAAGCTATAGCTTATCTCGAACCATCTATTTCTTTGAAGTGGCCATGGTAATCATAATTCTAATCTCTTATCTGGAATTACAAAGCCCATTAGGAACCCATTTACCGTCTCAGCTCCACGTTAGCAAGTAGTAATTTCAAAACGATCACCAATTCCTCACATGAAAAGTTTTTGTTCCGACGCTCGTTTCTTCAACCTACTCGCCGGGATCATTTCCAAGCTGCCTTTCTCGTTCAGCTCATTAATGGATTGGACACTGCACTCTGGAGCTCGACTTTGATCGATGTCTCAACATTCGGACGTAGACGTAATCGCACTGCTGGACCACCTCGGCGTGCGCAAGGCATGTAGAGAGGTGCTGCCCTCTTGGAGGACGACGAATTCGGTGGAGGCGCGCTACGAGGCTTTGACGTCGCATCAGCGCCGTTTCCTCGCCGCCGTGCCCTTCGATGACTTGGACTTGCACAACAGCACTGAGCGCGTCGCCTCGCTCGTTCTGCTGCACGCGTAGCGCAAGCGTCTCGAAAAGCGTGTGGGAGGCTATTGCATGCAGAACAATGCGCTGCTCAGGGCGCTGCTCAGGGCGCTGCTCAGGGCGCTGCTGCAACTCGGCATTGCAGTCTACTCGACGGGCGCCAGAGTCGACGCGGCCTTTGAGCCAGGCATTGAGAAGCTACCCGAGGATCAATGGCTCCATCACGGACTGTGAGTGATCTAGAGATTATTAAAGACAGCGTACTGAAATGCTACAGGAAGAGACCACCTGGTCAACCTCGTGCGTATCGGCGATGGCAAGATACACCTCATCAATGCCGGCATTCGCAACTCGTCGATCATATCGCCCTTGCTGCTGGCTGCAGATCCGTCAAGGCCCTCAGTGATGCTCAATATCGAACTCTCGGCCCATCTTCGTCTGCGTCTAGAAAATCGCAGCATGTCGGCCCTGACCCGAAGCCCGTTCAACTTCTCGAGTGTTCATATCACGTCGCCGGTGAGGCTGGTGAGAGGTGACAAATTGAGTCCTTTCCTCTGCTTCGACGCCGACACCGATTACTCGAGGTGGACTTCGAGGTCATGAGTTCCTTTACTTCGACCTGTCCGATGCCCCGGTACACAAGGGACCCCGTCTGCTCAAGGTTTATCCTCCACGATGACGAGAAACCACTAGGTCATGCCAGTCTGTTCAAGGATCTCTGGAGCGTGCGTCGCCGCGGATTCATCGAGGCGCAAGGCCAGGCTCACACAGAGGAGGAGCGGTCCCGCGTGCTCGAGGAAAAGGTAGGCGTGGTGTTGACCAAAGGAGAAAAGAAGGCGATTCGGCAGAAATCCTATGCACTCCCATTCGACTGAACGAGCTAGCCCATGAACTGGAAAATTGTTCTTAGGGAGATGGCTCGAGGTCACAACAATGGACCATATACTTGCCAATCAAGGTCAACTGTGCCTGAAGATCAACAGACATGGCACTCAATGCTCGGACTGAAACAATCCCAATCATCACTCAGAAATGATTTACTTCCACGGAGGACCCCGTTTTTCAACATGTCCAAAGCAACGCGAACCTCTCCAGTCCTGTCGTCGGAACAATCTGGGGCTTGAAGCAATTTTGATGTTTGCCATGCGTCAGTGCTTTGACGAGGTATCCACCCCAGACATCCGGTAGTATGGGTGTAGCTCCATCCGGGCCTCCCGTGCCAAATGCCATATTGGCTTTGACCCGTCGGGACAGTCGCCTGGTAGGATATAATTCGAGGACGAGACGAGGAGCTTCTGTCGTGACTTGGCACAGAGACTTGGCGTGCGCTTGCGACATCGCCTCTGTCAAGGTAGATGCAAGCACAGAGCAACTGGTCCCTGTCCAACTGTCCAGCGATGTGTCCGGCGACCGAGGCCGACTTATATTCGAATACCCTGTCTGCGCCTAGCTTCATTACATACTCGAAATCGTGAATTGAGCACGTTGCAAATACTTTCAGTCCAGCGCCCTCAGTCAACTGTACGGCGTTGCTGCCGACGGCTGAGCTGGCACCTCAGAACAATATCGGCTTCTGCATTGTTTCTGCATACATAGAAGGCGGAGGTAGACGCAAGGTGATCAGGCGAGAAGAGAGAGTAAACGGAAATGGTGCAGCACAGACCAAAGATCGACGCCTCATTGACTGAATGAGCTGTTCGTTGTTTTCACGAATCAGGGCAATTGCGCAACTTCAAGCTCAGAAGTAAGGGCGGCGGGGACCTTGGCGGCTAAGAGGTCGTCGACCGACGATTGCATACTCCTGAGAGGCATTTTTGATCGTGAATCCAAACACCACTTCGTCCGTCTTCAAAATTTTCCTTGGGCTGGCTTTCCCGCAAGCACACCGACGCCAACCTGTCGGATCATCAGATGCGTCAACATCGGCCTCGAGACTTCCCTCACAATGTCCTGACCGAGAATGACAGGGCATTTATTGAAAGGCAGTGCGCGATCTTGTAGAAGCGCATCACTTGGATTGGTGGCCAGGTTTGGACTCTTACGAGTACTTGGCGGTCATTGACCGTTGTCGGCACATGAGCTTCCTTAATTGTGCCACGCACTCCGGGTCGCTGCTTCTAGAATTGGAGGTTGACGGACATCTTCGTCGCGAAGCTTTGGGACAAAAGATAAGCACCTCTTCACAAGAGGTGCGAGGGCCACTCTTATGCAAATAGGGCAGGGTGGACAGCAACGCTTTAAGATAAGTGCATAAACGGCTGTAGTTTATTCTTAATTGAGGAGCAGGTGATCTGCGTGGTCAAGAATGCAAAGGGGCAGACTTTGGTACTCCCGACCTCTATGCTTGGTAGTAAGCCAGACCGAGATGCAAAATTTCTCAAAAGAGGGTAGCTTCGCGTGGAGGGAGTCAAGACCATTTCATGATTGTATCGCCCTCAGCTTGATGTCGAAAACAACACGCTAAGCCAAATGGGCTGAACATTACAGCGGCCGGGCTGACATCGAAGGATTTAGCAGCGACTCAGCGCCTTGCAACTCGAGCGCTGCCTCCAAGAAGATCAGCTGAGAACACAAAAAGGGAGTAATAGAGCTCATCACAGATGAGCACCACAGTGAGGTGGCTCAGAGTGTTGCCAATTATAAGCAAGATCAAATAATAAGCGATGTTGTTGGGACGAAGTAGACAGCGATCTTGTTGCGACGAATATGGCATGTAGCTGATCATGGATACATAGAGTGCACGGATCCTGCTAAGAAAATGCAATTTAGTCCCGCTATGATCTCGCGAAGTCTCTTCTGACTGTCAAGTGACTAATTCTGAGACTATTTGGCACTACAGTACTTCAAGTCACCGGTGCGCTTCGAGAGACGGCTTGATGTCCGCGGACGAAGTAAACGTCCTGATGGGCTGCACTCACTCACCACCACCACCCCTTAAATGAAAAAAAAGTCTTGACACTTTTTGTCAGAAATTTATTGCTGTCGATGTTTGTGCTAAGAATCTAGAAATCGTCGAAGCAACTTCCCTTGGAGACATGCTGATTCTGGAAAGTGTTGACTTCGAAAATTCTGCCTCACCAATATGGTTGCTTTTTTTCCTCATTGAATCTTTTGGATGCCGGTGAAAGCTGCATGGGTTCGAAGTCTCGTTTGAGCGCTAGTCGTACCTCCTCCTGAAATTCGTATTTTGTTTCTCTCCTGCCGATGCTTGTTTATGGAACGCAGATATTTCGCCATTGTACGAAGGACAGTGTGTATTGCTGGCATCAAGCTTCGATTGGAAAGTTCACACGTCACAGCACAAAATTAGCATTGTCCGGGTGAGGTTGCCGACGGGTTGTACCAGTCAGAGTGGAGGACGACGGTGGCACCCTCGGGAAGCGTCTCTGCGTCTGCTTGCGGGCCAAAGACGTACGTCTCGCACGTGTTGCCGTCGTAAGAACCCGCTCCCGCGGCGGGTGCGCCTCGCGAGCCAGCAGCACCGCACAGAGAGGGTGCACCTGGGTACGTCCAGGTGTAGGCGGCACTGCCAGACGCAAAGGTAGCAGCCGAGAAGCCCGCCTCAGCGATGAGGACGTTGCCGCTGCCGTCAGTCGTCTGCAGCTTGAACAGGCCCGAGGCGGGGTCCTGGACCGCCATGAAGGTGGTTGCCGCCGTCCTGTCAGTCGTCGTGTAGCAGAAAATGTCGCTACCAGGGTACTGCAAGAAAGACTTCTGTCAGTAACGTCGCAGACGACGATGCCTCTATACTCACCAGGTAGCCTTGGTCGTAGTCGTCGGCGGCGCTAAATGCGTGCACCCGTAGCTGCCAACACGATCTGTGTCGTGCTCGTCGCCGTAGTCGCCGTGGTCGCAGAAGCAGTAAGAGTAGCCGTCCCTATTGACACGGTGGTGGACACCGTCGTAGGGGTGCCCGTTGATGCCGTGTCGGTCACCGTGCTCGTCACAGTGGCCGAGGTGGTGTAGGTGCCCGTGACGGGGAACGTCGAGGTAAGCGTGTGGACGGAGGTGCTCAGCACAGTGGTGGGGACGACGGTGGTGGCCGTGACAGTGGCATACGTCGTGCTGGTGGCCACTGTAGATACGGTGGCAATATGCTCTTGGTTCATCGCCGCAGCCAGCGCATGCTGGGTCTCGGCCTTGCGGTTCTTGCAGTAGCACGTCAGTTGGTAGTGCAGGGAGTCCTTGGCTTGACACACGACGTGCTTGGGTGTCGAAGAGACTCGCTTGCATTGGCTGGTGCATCCTGTGGAGCTTGATCCACTCTCAATAAAACGAATCACTTCTTAGTGCTACTAAAGAGCATCACCGAGTCGTCGTAGCAATTTGATTGAAAGTCTTTCCTTGGAGGATGGCTCGACTAGTGTAGCTGCGACGCAGCACGGTGCGGCTAGAAAGAAAACTTATGAAATGTGTACTCTTGTAATACTTTCATTTTCTGCCCGCGAAAACAAGCTCTTATTCCTGCTGTTGTCTTGTTGCTGTTGTTGTTGTTGTTAGGAGTAGCGGGAGTTGCCATGGTAAGCTGCGTAAGATTGCGGTAATGTATTATTCTTGCGAGCCATTAATAGATAGAAAGGCGTGTTCGCACAAGGACGCACCTTTCTACCTCGTGTTCACACAAGCACGCACAAACACGAATGTCGATCAAAGACGGCAGACAAAGGTTTCATAAAGTCTGAGGATTTCATCGGATCTCACCTCGACTGACACCTTCCGGCTGAGAGGAGAATAGAAGAAAGGAACCCTAGCTACGTCCGACGAGTTGCACTGATCTGCATCAGCTATGTGGTGCATGCTCTCAAAATGCCCCAGCTTTTCAATAACGTAATTGATTATCAATCGAAGGTTGGTGCTACCAATACATACTTTTCCTTCCTAGTACAAGTGGCAGAACATCTGTTCTGTACAAAAAGCTGCATCGGCAGGAGAGGAACAAAGACACAAATCTCAAACAAAGGCTCAATCAACACTGTATCTCGATTTTCAAACCCGTACAGCTTTCATTGACATTCACCAAATTCAAAGAAGTGAAAGAGAGCAGCTTTTCTTGGGGCAAGGTAGAATTTTTGAGTTCTCCTTTTTCAAGAGACAGCATGTCTCCAGGAAACAGCAATCGCACGACTTCGAGACTGAGCAATGCAAGGCTTGCAAGTATTGACAGAGTGTAACAAGGGTGTTGTTGAGACTTTTAACATTCAGAGAGTCTGCTCAGCCTTGAGAAGGAACATCCGTATGTTCACGACTTTTACGAGCTCAGAAAAAGGAGCCCGATGCGAGCTGAACAAACGAACACGGTTTAGAGCTCATTCGGTGTAGAAAGGGAAAGAGCGAAGAGAAGGTGCTACTCTGAGCCATGAGGCTTTTGTGATGAGAGTTTGGATTCACTCTGCGGCATTCACTCCGCGGCCACAAGCTAGCTCAAAACGGTCTTCTGACGATGTGATACGAGCCACCATTACGACGAAAGAAGTTCCTGTAATTCGATCCAGGAAACATAGTGTCAAGGCATCCGTCAGCTTCACAGAGCTGTCTTATTGAGGGCGCACGAGCGCACCTTTTAACAAGATCGAAGACACGAGACGCAGATGAGATGTGATCTGTTGAGGCTCAAGCGTCCCGATGATGAAGGTCGATGAAATGGTCTCTCAGACCTGTTTGCAGGGCCCTAACTTTTCGCAAACGTTCTCGCCCCTTGCGAAGTTCCACAGCTTCGTGAAACGGTCTTCACTGCTATTACCCATACACAAATGTCAACCCAAGTGCAGAGGTGTGGATCATCTCAAGATTCCGGACGAGACAGAGACTTGTAGAAGTCTCGAGCGGAAGTGACTCAAGAGCAAACGGAAGAGCTTGCCAGTCTTGAATTTTGACATGCGCAGTGCCTTGTCCTTTGATCCAGAAAACAAAGCCCGGTCCCAGTGAGGCTCGAGCGCATCGTACGGTTCCTTATGACCACGAATGGTACGGATGCAATTGATTTATAAATACCCATCGCTAAAGTCGCAAACGGCAGCACTGTTGGGAAGGATAGCGCCTATGTTGCCGAAGTCCTTGAAACTACCTATGAGGCTTTCGTACTTGTCGTTGAGACCCGCAGCGACATGGTTCTCGCTCTTGGACATAATATTGCTGCCCGTAAAGCTCCGACGAGCCTCAAAGGTTGTCTGCAAACGATCTCTCTCTCGGAGCTTGTGCATACAAAGTTCTTTCTTTTCCCTGGGATGAGCTTGTCGAAGTCTCTTGCTTCTCGGAGAAGAGCCACTCATGCGCGGCAAAAATTCCTAGACTCGCTGAAGGAAGAATGAGAATTCCAGCGGGTTGTTCGAGCTCCTCGAACCTTGCGTGACCATGCCAATGCTGTGTGTGTGTTGTCTAAGTCAAATCTGTGGTGCTTCCACCTTTGCTCGCTTGACGCCCACCTCTCGCCAGGGTTTCACTGAGCGTTCCAACAGCTTCTTTGAAGGAACGAATCTTCGAGTATATCGCTTGACACGGGACGGTAGTTCCTAAGATATCGTCCTATCAACCTGGTCTCGGATCTAAAGCGGTCTGTACAGTACAGGGGAGGGAATATGTAGCATGGATAGGGCAAGTAAAGGTCACAAACTACCCAGATGTGACCCACTACTTCATGCTTGCCCAATGTAGGTCTTGCCCAATGTAGGTCTTGCCCAATGTAAGCCAGATGCACATGTCACTGTGATCCAGCAGAAGTGAGAGCTACTTCGTGAGTTTTTCTAGTGAGCTTATTACCACTCACGATGTAGTCCACCGCCACAACTGCTTCATTTTGCTAATTCGCTCCTTCCACAGACGTGCAGTCCACTCCTTCCACAAAGATTCACGTGAATTGCAGGAGGTGCCTACATCGCGTTGTCAGGAGAGAAGACAAGGTAGCCGACGTCTAGCGATAGTTAGAGGTCGATGTGAAGGAGAAATGGACTGTGGAGCTTTACGAAGCCCTGCCAGAGTTGCTTGAAATGTCTTTGACTTCCACGTCTTCGGGCTGCGTACATTCAGTACATTGGACATCTCCTCATCCCGACCTTCAAATTTACTCTAAGTCCGGTTGTCAAGTTGTTCGCGTTCACGTGTCCCTTTGTCAGGCTTGTTTCGACAGGGTTAGGATACGTGTCCATGCTCGAGAGACAATACTTTGATGGCTTATCCGTCGTGCTTTTCGGGTAGAATGTGATGAAAATGGTCGCGTCGTGGCGATGCAGGTCTCCCCGCTAACATCTCTCATCAAATTTTCCTTCGGGACTGCCTCACGCATTTGATCGGCGAAAGGTTTGCCCAAGTGCGGCGGTAGGTCGTCGAATAGCGCGATTGGGCAACCCTTGGCCGTTGTCACGGAGAGTATGGAGAGAGCACAGCGTGAACGAGCGTCTTCGGCTGGGGTTACCGCCTGCTCGTTAGTTCTCTTTTCCTTGCCTTTGACCTCAATACTGGCCGACTTTCTCTGCGCTGACGAGCGCCTTGGGCTCTTCTTCGGAGGGCTGAAGAGGGTTTGCCGACTTTGCTTACTCAAAGCTCACTTCTCCGTTGCTTGAGCATCGATGTTCTTACTGCCTTAGTTGCAGCGAACCGGTGTCTGAATGAGATGCATGCTTGAAGGCCGTCTAATGCAGTGCTATCGTGTAGTGATTAGACGGATATCGAGATGCAGCCACCAGCTCAGCTTCATGGTTGCGCTTTTCAAGTAACGTCACCTCGTGCAAATATTCTTCGGACGCCCATTACTTGCCTTGCTCCCAATAGTCACGAGGACGAGCGTGAGACAATTGTTGTGTAACAATGATATGTGAAAAATTCGCCTCTTCCATACAACTTTCGGTGTTCTACTGCTACTCATATATGGGAACTTGAAGGTAGACCAATGATCACTGATTGTCAGAATCTGTGAAAGCATTGGCGGGGCGATAGAGCGAGCTCGCCTAAGCGCCAAGCTCTATCTAGAATGTAAGATTTTGCCGCAGAAACTCGATGTAATCCGCAACTGCAACTTCGAAATGGTGATCGACGTAGATATCGAAATGTCCCATGTCTCGATAGAGTCTAATCGTAGACTTTGGAGCCTGCTTAGCATACGCCAACGACGGTCCGGGTGGCGCCACAGTGTCTCTCCCGCAGATTGCGAAAAGAATTGGACAGGTAACCTGTGCGGCACGGATGCCCGGGCACAGGAAAGGCAGTTCAAGAATGAAACGTGCAGGCGTTTCGTTCACGACCTTAATATTCGAAGGAATTAGCCTTTCTACGCCAGGCTTGCAGTCGGCAGCATTCATTAGTGCCACTGTATTAATAAAGAGACGTAAGTGTGATAATCGACACCTCTTTCTCGAATCTTATTACCTTCGCCAGGCGAACCGACAAGTGGAACGCAAACCGGTTGATTGTCGGTTCCAAAGAATTTATCGCGCAGTGCAAGAAGTAGTAGACGGGCACAAACTTACTTGCTGACCTCCGGTTTTATTCAGGACTTTACTCCCTATCCTACGCGCAAAGAACTACATGGGATGACTTCTTCAGTGGACAGAACGAGATCCACGATTGTCAGTATTCGACTTGATTTCGTCACTCTTCTTGTGGCACCGAGATTATTCTTGGTCTTGCTGATCATGAGCTATTCTATCCTTCATAGACACCATGGGCGTGGTTCGCAATCTCAACTTGGGACACCTTGGCTACATGAGACATCAAGTGCTCTCTGCTGATTATGACGCCATCAGTACTCATTGGATTGTACTTGTCAAGGACCTGGTCACCGATAAGGTGAAGACGTATTCATCACGCATCTTATTTTCGTGCGTCGGAGCTCTCAGCATACCGCGCAATTGCGACATTTCCGGCTGGAAAGACTTCAAAGGATCCCTTTTTCATAGCGCGGAATGGCGTCAGGATGTAGACCTGGCCGGCAAAAACGTTGTCGTCCTCGGCAATGGCTGCAGTGCGGCACAGATCGTGCCCGAAATCGCTCCGAAAGTTAAGTCGCTTTTACAAATCGTGCGAGCGAAACATTGGATCGCGCCCCAATTTGAAGACATCTTCGGATCGATACCCTTCATGTCTTGGATGGAAAAAAATGTCCCGGGAGTAGTCTCTTTGCAGCGATACATCATCGCAGCCCTCTTGGAAACACATTTCCTCCAAACTTTCAAAGAGGATGGTAAAGGTGCGCGGGAGCGATTCGCGGCACTTTCAAGAAACTACGTCCAGCAATGTGCTCCCCCAGAGTACCATGACATCATCATACCGAAGAATGGTGAGCTTGAGGTCGCCTGCAAACGCCGCATTTTCGACAGCAGCGGTTACATTCCTTGCTTGGGTCGGAAAAATGTCGACATCACCAATGATCAAGCAGCGAGGATAGAAGAGGATAGTGTTATTTTACGAAGCGGCCGCAAGGTTGAGGCCGATGTAATCGTCCTAGCCAATGGTTTCAAGACGGACCAATTCGCTTGCCAGATGGCGATAAGAAATGCCGAGGGAATGCGGCTCGAGGAGTATTGGAAGGAGAAGAAAGGTGCCCCTCAAGCTTATCGCACCCTTTGCGTCTCCTCTTTTCCCAATTTCTTTATGATTTGGGGACCCTCTAGTGTCACAGGTCACTTTAGTGCCATTCACTCAATCGAGCGCAGCGTCGAACTGGCGATGCGCATACTCAGGCCAGTATTCATGGCGCTGCCTATCGAAGATAAGAGCATAGTGTCGCTCTCTCCGCTACATCGAAGCGCAGGACGATCTGTCGAGGTCAAATCCTCAGCCGAGGATTTCGAGCAAGCCTTTATCCAGAGCCAGATGAAAGATCTTATTTTCACGACGGGATGCGCATCTTGGTACGTTGACGAAGCAACGGGTCGGGTCACCGCAGTCAATCCCTCATTCCAAACCACGGTTGCCTGGCGCTCTTTATTTCCCCAAATCGACGACTACTTGTATTCGGGTATGTCGGCGAAACAAGCATGGAAGGCTTGGACTTTGGGCAATCGCCTAGCTTCCCTACTCAGACTGGGTTCCACTCCAGACGTTAGGCCGATACATGCGCGCAGAGACGTTAGCTACTTATCTAGGCTATGGGCGAGGATCACCTGGCTTCCTCGGCAATTGTTCTACCGACTTTTCGTCTTCGCACTTCGAGTGGCTTCTGTGTTGGCGGATAAGGCGACGCGCTACAAGATCATTCCGCCTCCTCCCCTCTCCGAACGGAAGAGCACGGCCCCCGTCTACTGAAATGGCAAAGCCCGAAGATTTAGATACGATAATATCCTCAATGCAAGAGTGGGCTTCCTCCTGGTATTGCTGCTGCAATGTGAGAAGGTCCGAATCATTGAACAGAACAAACGAAGCTTTCCATCCACTCTTGACATCATATCTTCTGTGTCTGTGTAAGACTGTCATAGAAAGTCTGACCGCTCTAGGGTCTCGAAAATCTGAGAACGCCTATCTCTTGAATCGGTTGCGTGAAGGCAAGGTGAAGCCTGGATCGGGCGACTGACGTGATTAGACGACAAAAGCCCTGTACGTTGGCAGGACCAACATGCTGGGGTCTTGGAGTGCCGTGCGGTCTCGCGGGTGGCTGTTGTGATGGCAGTGGGTACCCATACGAATGTGCTTTTCAAGCTCAAAAGATTGTGCTGCTGTAGTCTGACCTGTTTCTTCCTGAGATCGATACGATTGGCTAGTGGCGCCACACACTGATGACCATATTGAAGACGAGATTTACTTCAGGCCACGCGATCAATACGTTGTAGACGAGTCTCAGACATTTTTATGTGTCCGCGAACTTAATCCTCTCTTCCATACCAGACCAGCCTCTCGTAGAAAATGTTCTCATACACACTAGCCACTTCTGCACGGCTCTGAACGAGTGTCGCAGATTGAATGTTTTGCTCTCTATGTCCTTCCGGGCAGCAACTTCCTCGAAGTCGGTGGCTTCTGTACTTATGTCTCGTAGCTCTCACTTCTGCTAGATCACAGTGACATGTGCATCTGGCTTACATCGGGCAAGACCTACATTGGGCAAGCTTGAATTAGTGGATCACATCTGTGTACTTTGTGACATAAAGCTACCCTATCCATGCAATAGACTGTCATTCTTGTTCTGGACAGACCGTGTTGGACCCGTGACGATATTTTAGCGCGCATGCCAAGTCCTTTCTCGCGACGCTCTCTGACTTCCGCCCACACCCCGCTTCAAGTCACGTCACTTTGCAAGGTCGGTCTAAGCCAGTCACTTGCCTTGCTTCCTCCAGACTGGCAACAGGTGTGATGCAGAATGAGAAGGCCGGGTCAAAAGAGAGAAGGTGCTTCAAGGACAACAGCATCGGCTCGCACACCTGGCTTCGCCGACAATTATGTTCCCGTTGACAAGATAAGAGGTAAATTTACCACCTTGCGCAGCGTTCAGATTTTAAAACAGGATCGATGGAGAAAGCTTGAACTTCCGCGAGGCTTTTTTGAGGGCCTCAATTTCCTTTAAGCCGGCAATGTCGACGTGCCACTTTTCCTGAGTCGCTTTTTTCAATTTTTCCTTTATTCCGTCAAATTCTCGTTCCTTAAGCTTATGTATCGCGCAAAGATGACAACGTTTGGGCGTAGACGTTGGTCCATTCACTCAAGTCCAACATCAGAAAAACTTCTGTGAGAAGAACTCTTAGGAACGGACCATATCCGTGCAAACTTGTTTTTGGAGGACTCATTCATGCTGCAGAGGAACTTCGGGGTTACTCGACGAATGAAGTTCGCGTGCCTGAAGGGGCAAGCTATGCACGACTGTCAAAAATGGTACGCTACCTCTTACCACTCCGCCCGGCAGGTCTCAGATCTTTGTGAGATTTGGCCAGCCACCTGAGTGCGGTGCTGGTATCCATGTCTTGTTCCTGGGCTGAGGTGCTGCAATTGCTGGAAAGCAGCCAGATCCGATCCGCGCTCATCGGTCACCTGCAATGAGATCGCGCTCTAAATGAAAGTTTGAGAAAGAAGTAAAATCGAAGTAAGGCACGCGCGTCAAGCCACAAAATACAGGCAAGCCGTCGTCATCGTCGCTTATGCTGCTAAACAGCTGCTGCAATCATTTACGCACTGACTTTGATCTGGACGGATGAAGAAAGCAAGGTGAAGCACCACTTCGTCAGAAGATTGTCAGATGAAAGACAAGAAATTAGCAGTAGATGTCATGAGGCGTGAGAAGCTGAGCGGAAACAGACTACATCCTTCGAGAAAGGAGGCGCGCGCGGCGATAAGCGGTGAAAGGCGAGCGAGGAACGGGCGAGCGAGCAACGGGGAAACGATAAGTTATTGACACGGCATAAGCATTCTGTCAATAAAGCCGACGAATACAAGAATTAAATGCGAGGGTTCATGCTCACTGTGCTTACATATCAACACGTACTTATCTCCACGTCCGTAAATGAGTGACATTTGGTAAGTGAGCTTGCTGCTGTGTCGATGCTGAGAACTCGTCTCAGCTGCACAGAAGAGCACGGATTGGACGTCGAAATGGGATGGGTAATCTTGCAGAGCTCCGCTTATGAACTATGGACTGTCGAGTCAGCCCGAGAGAAGAGAGATTCGGACGCATGCTCGTCGGATTTGAGGGCTTGTAAGCGGAAATGGGAGATTTCAGACGATTCCGATTACTGTCCGGAAAGCGCACCTGAAATTGACTGGTCCAAGGGTTATTCGGCCTCTGATCGCAGCCCAAGAGCGTAAATGCGAACAAGTTGCGACTTCCGCGGAAAAGAGTTCCTTCCACAGTGCCTGCTTTCATCAGATGAATAGCGAAGAAATTAGATTTGCTGTAATGCTTATTTCCGAGATTTTTTTTCGCTTGTCTCCGTTGAGGGAGCGCACAACTGAGCTTTAGTCCGCGCGCCGCGGAAGGGGGCGCTGCGAGAGTCGTCGAATACTAGTCAGCCTACTGCAGGTAAATTCCGTGAAGACGCGTGAGCATGACAGAGGCTGAATCCCGCTCATCTGCGCAGAAGGAGGGATTACTGCTCTTGGCCTGCTTCCCTTCCCAAAAAAACAATGGTGACATCTTGGCATTCTGCCTCCCCTTCCTTCAATTGGGCTCTCACTCTCTACACGATCTCAATCTATTCACCATCGAGCACCGACTAACGAGCCAGACCATTGACTGAACTCCACTTCAGCCCTGTGCTACGGTGAATATCAACCATTACTCCCTTCAGAGCACTTCTTTCGGCACCGTCGGCAGAAAACTCCACAAATGAGCGCCTGCACCGCACAAGCGCCGTCCTCTAGCTTCTTGCTCCCTGCAGTGCGCCGGAGCACCTCGCAGAGCTACGCCATCTCCTCACCATCATTTACTTCTTCGTCGTCGTCTTCCAGCAGAACCAGCATGAACTGGGAGTTTGCAAACAGTAGCGCCAGCACCAGCTCTGGCCCTGCTCACCGTGATCAGGTGTTCTCCGAACGACGGCTAACCAACAGAACATTGCACGACAACGGTCGCAAGCACTGCTCGCCTCTGTCATCCGGGGCGAGGTCAGCCTCGACGCCATCTTGGCTTTCCCCATCGACTGAACTTCAATCGCCTTTGAGGCTGACATGCTTCGGCACGTCGACGCGCAACGGTCCGAAGACGAGGAGCACTTCCCCATAATGAACCCGCTCGCGATCAAGACGTGGGAGATGTGGCCGGGAGCAAAAAGGTCGACTTCGCGACGCCAGCGCAAGGTCGTCGACAAGCAGCCGGCACCGTCCTCTTCGAGCCTGGGCCTCGATCTGGGAGAGCCCAGCTCAAGCAAGAGCACCTGGGAGGCCGAAGCAGCAGCAGAATCTCCATCTTCTTCGCACTCTTCATCCGCATCGCTCCCGCCCTCGCTCTGCAGCTCGCCGCGATCGATAGCACCAAGCGACGCGACGCTGTGCGAAGACATTTTCACCCCAAAACACCAATACCTCAGCCTGAGCCAAGAAGATGACTACGAGGACATGCAAAAGGGAGCACAGGAATTGCGATTATGACCTCACGCTTCCTTCCTCCACCGCTGCTCCCCCTTCCTCGCTGGCGCAAGCGCAAGAAGCGGCGGCGACACCGTCGTCCTTTGCCTCGGCAAAGGACGTGGACCCGCTCGAAGAGATGTTTGACTTTGCACCGTTAAGTCAGCACGCCATTTGCGAGCCGAGAGACAAACGACTGGATGGTTTGGCCCACTTCGACCTCCACTTCAGTCTTCTAGAGAAGCCTCCCCAATATTATTTTCCAGATAACCCTCATTCGAAAGAAAAAAGCAATCATACCATCACCTCTTTTTTTTCAACATTGTCACTATTGCATGATGGCTAAAAGCACTTCTCGAATGGCGTGCACAGCAAGCCCATGAGATTATTGTGGCGATTTGGTTCTCGAAATGCTAGAGTCACCTGACACTTAGGGGGAATGATCGTTTGAACACGTGGGAAGCTTTTACTATTTCCTACTTAACTCGGATAGATTCGTTTAGCTCCGGAAGTATTGGAGTGTTTCGCCATCTCACTCGTCACAGGTGCCAACATCACCACTCATCCTTGATGAGCGACAACAAATACCTTTTCGCGCAGGGGTCGTGGGCGCAAGATGAGCATTAGATGAGCATTGGTCATTGTTGATGAGAGTAAACAGCAGCTGCTTGTAATTCCGGTCAGATTCATGAGAGACAGTCACATCAGAACGTTCGCCTACGTATACGAACAGAGAGATTACTGCTTTGAGCAAAGCGGTCACCTCACCACGTCCGCAACGGATACTGAACACATCTCGCCCGACGATGAGATTCGCGCAGGAAGATATCAGTACGCCCGGTCAGGTGAGTTGTATCTAAGCGGCGATTCATCCAGTGGCTGAGGCACAGTCAGATGGATCTATGGCTCCTTGTACTCCGAGAGCTGGGCCTCATCCCGAGTATAAGTATCGTGCCCCTTCCGAGAGCGCCTAGCACCATGAGTGATCCGAAGCGATCGACAGCCAACCAGGTTAGTCTGTAAATTGCAAGTGAAGACGGATTCGAGCTTCAGCTCAGTGTCTCGCATCCCACAGAGCTCTTTACGTACTGCCCTGATAGCACGAGGTTAATTGCTGTCTACTGACGGATGAAGGGTATGAAAACTGTACAGCGAGCAACGTTTAACCTCAGAGCCGACCTGGATTGATTCCTGTCGTACCACTTCCTGATCTAGACGAAGAAGAGCCTAAGCACTCGACCAGTACTCGGATAGAATCAGCCCCTCGTTACGCGCGTCTTAGTGCATTCGAAAAAGCTGTCAAGAGCTGCTTTGAGCTTATCGATATCCGTACGATGCTCGACGTGGTGTTCACTTTGGCTTGCCAGCTTCAGAGCCTCTCGAGCATCGTTACACGGGTGAAAAATTGAGGCAGCCTTAATCGCGAGCATCTAGTATACACGTGCGCAAGCGAAGCGAAATGTGTCCAAACTAGCTTACTTTGCATCCAGCTAGGCGGGGGGGAGCGTATTGATGTATAGGTGGTTCAGATAGCAGTGGGCCCCAAATGCTTAGTCATGTACCTTGCAATGCGTGTGACAGCATATGACTCGTTTGTCAGCATCGTCCATCAGAGCTTTTCCTTGCATTCTTTGGCGTCACAAAAGGTTAAGCAAAAGAGCGTTGCTGGCAGCAAGATGTCTCAGAAGCGGGATGACGACAGGCTTCTCATCATCGAGCAGCAGCAGCAGGCAATTTTTCATAGCTACCTAACACACCGCCGACGCAATATCGGCCTTATGCGAAGGATAGATTGCCCCCGATTCAGCCAGCAACACACCTCGATCTCACGGCGGCCTTGGGATTATTTGTGCGAGCAAGGAAGGGACAAACAGGAAGAGCTTCGAGAACAGTTGCGTAGTCATCAACATTACGACTCTTAGATATGAACAGGGAGAAAGAATGGAAGAGAAAAAGGTCAATTTGTTGGCATTCTCCAGAAGACACGGCAGCCCAAGAGCCGGCACCTCAAGAGCCGGCACTTCAGGAGCAACTCGACTATGAAATTCCCCGAAAATACATTCACGCAGAGATCCACCTTACGTCGCAAATCGGCAATCCTTGTTGCACACTCAGCTCTCTTCAAGATTGCGAAAGTAGCGAGTGGGTGGCGAGAGGACTTCCAAAAAAAGTAATTTCACAAAACAAGCTACATTCTTGCAATGCTCCGTCACTAAATCAACAAGCTGATCCATCCATGGCCTTGCAAGACAACACGGTATCTCAGCAGCTTCTCGCCCCGTTCTGGCGCAAGAGAGGAAAGGCCGACGATGAAAAGCACTTCGAGTGCGAGCAGAGCAATAACATCGTTTCACAGCAAGAATTCCATTGTCATAGTCACTTCGATAGCAGCTCTGATATGCGAATTTTCCATCACTTTCAAGCTGCGAACAGCAACGTGTGTGAGTCATAGGGTGCTGGAAGGCTCCATTTCACCTAGTCTCTGAGTTTTTCAAACCAAATGCAAGCTTTAAACGGTAGCTTGCACCTAATGAACCCCTTTTCGGGAGCGTCTTCCAAGAAGATCGGGTCTTCACGCAGCAATCTTCGGTCTCGTGAGGGTCTTAATCCTCACGACATCGACTTCATTTCATCAAGAAATACATTGGTGACATACAATCTGCTGCAACATTTTCGGACCCGAACCTTGGATCTGCGACGCCTCCTCCTGCTTGCGACATCGCAGAAAACGTAAAGTGAAGGTCAGTGAACAAGAACAAAGACTCCGGAAGATGTGACCACAAGACAAACACTGACATATTCTGGCTTTGCGCTGCGATGTATTCATTCCCATGACAAATCACATCAAAGCCCCTAATATTTCTCGTCATCCTACCCTTTCTCGTCACAGTGTGACCGCGCAAAGCCTCGATGCGAGAAATGTCGGGAGGCAGATCAGACGTGCACTATGAAGGACGTACTGCGTAAAAGTGGGCCTCCTACAAAAGTGAGCAGTGGAAGCAAATGGTCTGCCGTTAGGACAGAAACTGACTACTTGATTATATTTCAAGGAAGAGAAGCAGATGCTGGATGAAGCTGCTATCTGCTTCCTTAGTCGTAGATCTGGGTCGTGAACGAAGGGGGGGAAACGCAATTCGGATCCCAGCATCGTTGTCACGAATACTGTTCTCTTGTGCGAGAGAGGCGCAATGAAAACGGATGCTGATGTGGTGCAAGGGGTAGTATCATAGCTAAGTGCAAATATGACGGTGTGAAAAGAGTGCTTCAGGATATCAGATCTTGGATTTCGATGCGATTTGTACCGCGAGACTTCAAAATATCAATAGAGAAACACATAAATTGAGGAGCACGTCGCGGGCAACGCCCTTCTGATCGAAATCTTCCTGGGGTGGTGATAGGTTGCGGAGTGATTTCACCTATTCAGCAGGGCAAAAATATCCCATACTCTTATGTCCTTGTGGAATAGAAACTAACGTCATAACGGCAGAGAATACCGACAAAGCGTTCAATGGGCTCTGGCAACTTTGACGACGGGCTTTCTGTTTAAGGTTTGGCTACGAACTCAGTGTTGTGCTATTCAGAGGTCCATTGTGCGCTCCCCGTGCAATGCAAAGCTAGTGCAAAGTTTAATACCAAAATTAAACATGCTCAGTGAGACTTCTTCTTCTCCTACCCTAAAGGTTGCCATTGTGATATCCTGTACTTTACTTGTCAATTCGGTCTCTCTCTCATATGTCTTCCTATCATGTATTGCTTCTAGCCAGCATGGAGCAGACGGAGTGACAAGTCACTTTTTTTGAACTGGCAATCAATGTTTTCACCTCTTTTCGTACTCGTCTGTGGGTGGGCAGCACCATCCTTTTCAGATTTGTAAGGATGGCGTACTTGCTTGGGCGACTCTTTTTTTGTCGATTTGTCCTCATACCCTCGAGGTAAATTTGGGAAGGATTCCGCCGTCCGTCTTGCTGAATCGGAACGCTGTACGGAGAGGTAACATTCTCTTGTGTCAAAGGAAAGGATTTCCTTGCCATTTGATGGGCTTTTGAGCGCTCTTCAAGCAGCCTCTTAAAAAGTCGCTCTTTGGGACGAGTACCTTTGGAGATGACAACTGCTGCTGCTTCGGGTAATGAGGAGGCTGCACTTCATTGGCTTTGCTTTGCACGCGTAGTTGCTGCAGTGATTGAGGCAGCAAAGCCTGACGGCATTGATGATGATGTCGCCAAATTTGAAACTGCCCGGCATTAAAAGAAAGATGAGAAGAGTTGTAGTCGGGAAAAAAAAGGTACACAGAGAAGTGCACGCACCTTTTTTCGGAGGTCTGGGCCGTGACATAAGGTAAAAGAGGACAGAGGCTCGGGTGACTGATGAGCTTGTGACGGACAGGTATTATTTTCGTCTCCTCAGGTGATCCATCAACCAGAGTGATCTCTCGATGCACATGATCAAGGCTTCCGATGATCTGCATTAGAAGCGTCTATGTAGTCAAAAATAGATGAGCTTACCGAAGGTTTGTGTCTACAAGCCAATCTATGACAGCAGAATTGGCAAATAGCTGGGCCGAGGAAATTCTCTGCAATGGCTGTTTCAGCAGAAGCAATTGTGACGGTGACGAGCAGTGAAGATAGTAAGTGTCTCGATGCACTTCAGTTGAGAGCCGTACAAGAGCTCACGACAGCTTGAAGAAGACTGTTGACCACGTCTTTCTCCGGAAGGTTGATTTAGGCGAGAGCGGCCAAGCTACGACTCCGTAAAAATATTTAGATCTCTGTTGACACCATCTTCATCGAACAGGTGTCTATGAAAAATGAAAAGGGAATCATGTGAGAAATTGAGATCCTCAGCAAGTCTATGGCACTCACCTTCCTGTCAGAATTGGAGAAAAAGGCATCGGAGTGACCACAAGTCGCTTTTGACGTCGTACTTTTCGCCTCTCAGCACTTCCTTTTGTCCCCAAAAAGGATTGGGGTAAGATTAATTGCCAAAGCTAATGTGTCTGTTGCAACTCTCCACTCACTGGCGATCTGGAGCCAGGCTTCTGCATTAAAGAAAAGAATGAAGTACTTATGCAGTAAGTACGGTTGCATGGTACGGTAGGATGAGGGACGTCTGTGCTTACACCTGCGATGCCCCAATGCCCTTTCGCGTGTTTGTCACGTACAATTGCCAGTCCAAAGTCGGAGATTTTTGCACGAAAGGCGTGGTCGATCAGGACTGGCAAGTACAGTCCGTCAGTTCCAAGTTCTTTGCATGAGTCCCCTCGCCACGTTCCACGAACTGTTGTGTGACAGGCATAAACCAAGAACTTGCTCACCATCGGATGGTGTCTTTTAAAGGACGCGCAAAACGTGCTTTTGGCAGTGAACAACAGTTCTTCGGACATTTGGCCCACGGACCATGCAACCAAAAGTGGCCGAGTAGCCTCAGTGACCAACTATTTACCTGCAAGCGCCCCCGATAGCCCTACGGTATGGGTGGGATGGTTCATTTACGAGAGAAAGGCGGGACTTTGTGGCACGACGCTCGCCATTTCGTTTCACCGAAACGGCGGGGACGTGACTGTGGGATTGGACTGTCCCAACTCGTTCTTTGACGGCCGTAATTCCATCTGCGTTCTCCAAGGCGAGGATCGTCAAGCTGCCATCAAGAAAGTCGAGGACACTCACGACAAAGACAGCTTCGTTGAATTGAGTACTGGTACGATCTCAGGCCGCATCGCCAGCAAATACGGCAACGTCAACTGGGCTTATCTTATTTTTGACGACCACTGACGCGGTGCGGTACTGTCTTCTATCTCGTGATCGTGGCTGTCACAGATTCATTACGCCTCCCATTGGTCGCTAAGAGCCCTTTTGTCTACGTAAAAAAACCCTCCCACCCTCCCTTGTCCTTCCAATGTTCTAGTTGATAAGCTCCTCGCTCACTACAACACCTGTTGTATGTGTCTCGCTCCCGAATCCCGTTCCTCAGTCGATGTCCGACACAGAAATGAGAACACTTGTCGCCATAACATGTAAGCTCCATCGCAGAGACTATCCTCCGAGAAAAAGGCCTGATAGACGGTGCCACCAACAAAGTAGTCGACCAAGGGATCGCTGTCGAGCATGCCTTGCAACGAGTAGCGCTGATTCTTGCCCATAAGATGTCGGTACGCTGCACGCCGCGCAATGGCGTTTGAAAAGGGTTGACTTGCAGGCATGAACAATGAAGCGAGGATCGTCTGCATTCTCTCTCTCGGGCACAGGGCGGACACCAGGCTGAAACTTCCTCGCGAAGAAGTCGTCCCAGCAACGAAACCCATGATTTGGCGCCTGGGTCGCACTGATACAGCTGGACAAAAGTTAGCTTCGTGACTGGTCCATCGCCGCATTCATTTCCCTTCTTCTCCATTTCATGAATGCCCTTTGAAAGCCGGCCCTGCAACACACGTGCGGATCATTGTCGTGCTGCAAATACTGGGCCCACATGGTAACAATTTCGCGCAGGCACCAATTCACATCGCTGTCCAAGAGATACTGGTCGTCGGCTGCCGTTCGCATAGCGGTGTCGAGCCCGGCTTTGAAAGGGAAGCCGATGAGGCCGCTCTTTCTCTTCCGCATCGTTCCACGGGGGTGCTTTTCGCATGAGCACGTTGAAGCACCGCAGCATGATTTCGAAATCATTGACAAGTGGTTTCTCACAGTCACGGAACGGTAGAGAGTCGTCGTTGGCAGTCTCAATGAACATGTGGTCTGACAGTGGCTTGAGGAAGCTCGAGGAGAGGGCTACGGTCGACTACGTGCTGAAGGGCAACCAAGGTGGGGTCGAGCTGGCTGTAATGGCCTTCGTGGCTAATCTCGACGATCGTGGCAATTCATTCTTGTATGACAGCCTTGTCTTTGGGAAGCCAGTAGCCGACTCGGTGTGTTGTATGGTCCATCGTGACGCGACTCGGTCTGTTGAGCGGTGTTCGCTTGGGGGGCTGTGTTGTATAAAATGGAGAGCAGAGACGTAGAAGTACGATCGAGAAGTACGATCGAGGATAACTCCTTTGCGAGACGCTGCCTATCTGAGCTTGTGGGAAACCCGATTTCGGAAAAGGGAAGATCCCGTTCCTGGTCTTTGAAAAGGACAGGCCAAGGGTCAGATGCCTTCGAGCTCTGTCCCTGGCAACTACCAAAGGCAGCTCGAAGCTGGTTCTTGACCCTTTTCCTTTGTCTACTTCATGTTTCCCGACACGGCTGAAACGCTTCCCCGACCCTACTTCAGTTTCGCATGCTGTATGCTGTAAATCATCGTGCTTCCACAGGGACAGATCGTGCTTGAAAGCACGCCAGGATATTCTCGGTGCTGTTTCGGCTGCCGAAGATGCACCTTGGCTTTGGCGCATAGATTGTTGAGACAGGGCAAAGGCGTAAGGGGACGAGGCAAAGACGTAAGGGGAAGAGGCAAAGATGTAATGTCACACATTTCCTCCATTTGTTGTAAGCATCGGATGCTGGTGGTGCGGATGACTTCAAACTAACCCCACAGGCTGATATCGTGACAGCGCCAATTCTTTTTTTTTCAGATGATGGCGGAGCCTCAGATTTGTGCTGTAGAGTAATTGCTTTAACACACGAGATAACAAAAGTAGGAAGAGAAAGGAGTCCCGCTTCAAAAGTCCGTCTCTACTCTACTCACCTTGGTGTCTTCATCGCATGCACTTTCAAACCAATAAAATGATGACCGCCCAGAGGAAAGCAAATAAGACGAAATTTGCGTGCGAGCTCATGGCAACAGAGCCGATGGCCTTGCCCGACTATGCATTGGCCCAATCTCGGGAGATTGTGACTTTGCTGCTAGCGCAAACGAGGTGCTGAAGGCCGTATCGCTGAAAATGACGGAGAGGCAAGTCGCAATGGTCAGAAGTGAAGGAAAAATTCACGCAGATAAAGACATTCACCGCTACAATGTTCCCCGCAATGACGAAACCTTCGCGTACCTGCCTTGTCGATGAGCCCATGAAAGTTCGGGTCTGTCTGCAGAATCGCCAAGGGCAGATCGATGGCAATCAGGGACATGGACCGGCCACGGAATTGGGGTTCCCTCTCGCTGTGGGACGTGTCAGTCAAAATAGCCACGTTTATCGTCTGGTTAGGCCCATTTTGTAGCCAAGAGCGTTATTGCATCGCTTCGATGCTACCAAGCACTGGAACATCGTGTGGAAAGACAGATGCATCTCCAGACGGACCTTGTCTGCGAGATAAGGCCAGACCATTCGTTCAGTGCAGGCAGTCAAACGCCGGTCCTTGAAGACTTGAAGACCTGGGATCGAGCATGTTGTTTAAATACGATGTCGACGCGTGATTTCTTTCTCTTCATCGTGGTTGTCACAATAATTTGAGCAAATAGTCTGCAAGATCGTTTTTGCCTTTCTATGAATTTCCACCACATTATACCCCAGAAATGTTTGGTTTGAGACATCTCCGCTTTCAAAACTTATCGCTGTGAGAAAAAATGGAGGGTAATCGTTCTTGTGTGCGCGCACGACCGGGAAGGCTTATTGACATTTCGATAAATTGTAGCTCCGATTGATTTTGACTCCGATACCCGATCTTAAAGCCTTGTCCGCTTTCGAACCTTATCGCTGTGGGAAGAAACGGAGCTTAATCAATCGTTCTTGTGTGCGCGCATGACCGGGAAGGATCATTGGCAGTCTCAATATGATGTGCCATCGAAGGGTCCTCGACCCCGAGTCATTAGCGCGTACGCTTCAGGAGGGATTCACGTGGTTTCATCTTGTCGTCCGATGCCGCGTCCGCTGCGCAGGTGACATTTGACCAGAGCACTGGCGGTCTCTGCCTCGCCAGCGACAGTGCCTTCATGTCATCCACCTACGGAATGGCGAGCACATTCTACTTCCGCATGACCAAAGGCGGCGTCTCGTCGGCGCAAAGTCCCAATACTTGCTCAGTGGCAAGCGGTACTGGCGAGGTAGTATGCGCATCCAGCGAAGGCTACACAGTTCTCCACACATGCTCTGTCTATCTGTCCCTTGGCAACACCAATTCTTGCGCAACAAGTGTGACAGTCACCTTTGTATTAAGACTCCCTCTCTGGCGAAATAGATGCCATTGTATCTGCAGCAGAGTACAAAAACGTGTGTACGAGGAGATAAAGTTTGTACAGGAAAGTGATGTGTGTACATCTTTCTTTGTGCCTGTTCCTCGTTACACGAAAGCAGCATTGAGACAAGGAGAGCTTCAATGTGTCTGTGCCTATGTGTCTGTGAGACAATCGTTCTGTAAACAACATGTATCACGCGATACGATCCTGAAGGAGAAGTCGCGCTTGTTTTCAAGCATTACAACAGGTATAATGGTCATCAACTGAAAGTGGTGAGCGGCGGTCTTAAATACAAGCATCTGAAAGTAGCGAAGTTCCTTGGCCATTGGATGTGGTCCTGCATGAATGAGGCAACGGGGCCCTGCTGTCTCCACAAGCGTTTTAGTGAAGTTGAACCAGCCGTGCAGATGTGATTCACCTTCAGCTAGACGGAAGACGCTCTGCTGATTCTTGCCCAACACATGTGAAGTTTATGAGGAGCTATCGGCAAAAGTATAAGACCTTGACGAAAGGCACGGATCTGGCTGGACCGGAGGAGAACGCCGCCGCCATCAAAGTCTGGGAGTACCTCAAGCTGGCTTGGTGGTGGGGGACTGTCGGCTTTTGCGAGTGGACCACCTTCGCCTGGTTCACCACCTTGTTCCAATTCATTGTGGGACTCGTGTTGGCCTATGAGCTCATCGTCCGCATGCGTCGGCTCGACAATCAGGAGAACGACGACGACTTGATCTTCTCTGTACCTCTCACGGAGCCTTTCCCGGTCGAGGTGGACGACGAAGCGGACAATGTGGACTTCGCTGCGCGTCTCAGCGTACCTCCGCCAGCGGAGCTCGGCGACAAACAGCGCGAACTTTCTTCGACAGATGTCTCTGCACCTAAAGATGGCGGGGGCCAAACTCCTGACCCAAACCTTTGCTCGACGACCAGATCGCCCAGCCTGAGAATGCCCGTTGACAGACTCGGACGTCCACGGCGTGTTCAGTCCTCGGTCGTCTAGCGGGTTCGCAATCGCGAGCTGCAGCGCGAGCTGATCAACCTCCTCTTTCTTCTCAGTTATCTCATCTCGGCGCTCACTGCATACTCGATCGTCGTCATCGGCATCACTGCAGTGGACCTCGACGTGATCAGCAAAAGTCCTGAAGCCCTTGCCCCGGCTTTCTATCACCACAATCTTGCCACCGGCTGGCTTAATATCGTGTGTGGCGGGGGCATCTTCCTGTCTGCTTCCTTCAATCCTACGACAACTTCCTGTCCACGTTCCATACGTTGCTCAGTCTGGCAGCGAGCAGTAGCGGACGAGGGGCGAACGCAGTTTCGGTTGGACAGTACGACATCCATCTCCAGGAGGGGCGGTCCAGCAACCCACTGGCCGTGCCACGGACTCGTCACGGCTACATGCGCAGAGCAAGCGACGGCGCGGCCGATGAACAAGAGGAGACTCTGCGACCCGAGGACGATGGCTTTGCGAGCCTCTCCAGCCCAACTCGGCTCGTACCTCGATCACAAGGCCGACGAGGACCCGCCAACATGACGCAGACCCAGGTGTCGTCCTTTTTTTGAATCCGAGCCCGTCCTCGAATCCCAGTACAGAGTCGCGATGCGTCCAAAAAAGAACTATGGACCACCTTGCTAGTATCATGGACCACATTACTAGTATCTTGATCGCATTGGACGATTACCTGCCTCGGACATGATGTCACATACACTCATAACGGCAAATCTCAACTTCTTCAGCGATTCTCCACTTCTCCAATAGCAACGAAGAATAGCACAAAAGATCAAGGCAAGCAAGCATTGCCACTTGTAAATGAAAGGACAGCCAAGCCAAATAAAGCACTTCTCTTTCCCTCTTAGTCTGAGCAGTCGAGGCCATGAATGAGCATGGCGCAGGCAACTTGCAAATTTGTCTGTGGGCGCCGCTTAGGACGCTTTTCTCCGGAAAAAAAAAAATATAAAAATCTTCCGGGGAACAAACGCGGACAAGGAGGGCCTTAGCATGCGCTTATACTCGAGAAATTGGGACCTGCGCTTACCCGGCTCCGAGGTCTTTGGCATGTTGCTGGCCTACACAGGATGGAGAGAAGTAAACGGTCATGAGGGAGTTCCGGGATGAACGAGCTCTCTGCACAAACGTGACGACCCGGGGTAAGAGTAACATCACGCTTTCCTAGAGATTGATGGGACGGGTCTTCTTGCCTCTGCACCAGTATAGGAAATCTTCTGGCATGATCCAACGTCGGGAAAGCTAAACATGACCGAGCGAATGAATCGGAAGCAGCGCTATGACCTCTGTGCGAACCTAGTGAGGTCCGTCGAGGCTACATTGACGATATTGATGCTTGCAGATATCGATCGCCTCAAGCACCTCTTCAGTCAGAACAGCTAGGCTTATTGCCCAACCTTCCATTGCATCATTTGTTTTCGTTTCAGACTGATTCAACGGACAGAGCAATGCACAAAATAAGGTTGACCGAGACAGTCCCGTGTGAAAAAGGGAAGCCGTACTTTTCCCTGGAGTCCATCGACTTCGCACGCTTTGTCCTCGCCCTCCTTCTTCCACACCCCTCCTTTCCT